AAAAGAAAGGTCTCGATGAGTGTAACATCGGGATGAGCTTATATCTTTAAAAATGTCAATATTTCACAAGATAAAAGGTCATTTCTTAATTATGTATCCAGAGATAGAGCATGTTTGAATGGAGCAGACTTTTGAGAGGTTTCAAAATTTTATTCAAAAATTTATTGTAAAATAAATTTGAAAAAAATTTTTTTAAATTATTAATAAAATATTTTTTTTTATAATTTATTTAAAAAATTATCAGATGTCTGTCAATTTTAAATAATGATAAAATTTTTTGAATATTCATAAATAAATTTACCATAAAAAAATAATAATAATTCATTAATTCAATAATAATTTCTTACATCCATAGGCGCAAATATTACATTAGGACCCAACTCCTTGGCCATTTCCTTGCCCTGAGAAGTTGGCAAATCCGCGGCGATGACCTTACCACCTTGCTGGACGAACCTCTCGACAGTCGCACGACCTAATCCTGACGCACCACCTGTCACCAAGGTTACTAATCCCTACAAAAATTCATACGAAATTAATTATATTGTCATAAAAAAATATCTGTCAATTTTTGGGAATTTTATAACAAATAAATTATTACAAAAAAAAATTTTTAATTAAACATTCTACTTCTAAAAATTTTTTAAAATTACATTGTAAATTTTTCAACAATTTAAATTAAAAAAAAAAAAATAATTCAAAAATTCCACGTGTAAAAATAAAATAAAATTAGTAGTGGAAATTTTTTTATTGTAATTGATTTTTTTAATAAAAAATTTACAAAATTAATTATTATTCAAAGATCTAAATTCATTGATAAGTTGTTATTTTTAACCTTATCAATTATGTTTATTTGCAAAATGACCTTTGGACGTCGGAATTTCAGCAGGATTAACCAATAAATCATTAAAAAAAAACACTATATTAATCCCATAAAATAAAAATTTTGGATAATCATTAAATAAATAAATAATAAAAAATAAATTACCTTCATCATCTTATTTCGATTTTTTTTTTACAAGTTTAGAGTCTTAGATTATTTTGGAGACACACCGGTGACTTCAGGAGAATTCTTTAACTACTGATTACTGAACTGGGGCTCTTTTTCATCATTGTTATTATTACAATAATAATAATAATAATAATTGAAACTGTTGCGCCATCTGGAGAATTATTAAAGCAGCCGGTAAGAGAGAACTGTTAAGATAAATTTATGAAAATTAACTTTGCCGGCATTAAAAAAAATTAATATTTTTAAAAAACTAAATTTGTAATTTTTTATCTTAATTTTTTGTAACAAAAATTTTAAAAACTATAAAATATCTGCTAAATTAATTTTCATAAAAATTAAAAGCGTCGGCTATAATAAATTTTATCTTTTTTGACAGTTTATTCAATTTAGATTTTTTAAATGTTAAAAATAATTCGAAAATATTATTCTTATTTATTTTTTACATTTAATTTACATTATGCAAGTATTTATTTAATTATTAAAATTAATTATTAATATAAGGTACAATTACCGGCGGACTTTTACTACTGGCAAAAAAAAACCAGTAAAAAGAAAATAATCGCTGTAAAAAAATAATTTCGTTGATAAGCAACGTGTGCAATTATAATTATTTCACTTCGTTGTTTTATTACTTACGTACTTTAAGTACGTAATTAATTAAAGTTCGTTTTTAAATATTTACAATTCAATTTATCCCGATTAAATTAATTTTAATTATGACACTGAAGTTGAGAAATTTTTAGAATTTTTTTTTTGCAATTTTAAAAAAATATTTTTTACTTCTAATTTAATAAATTTAAAAAAAAATCAAAAAAGTTGTCGAACTTTAGTATTATAAATTTTTTTATAATTATTATAAAAGAACTTTAATAAAAAAAATCTACTTGTCAAAATAAAAAAAAAATTTTTTTGATCGTAATTGATTTTTTATAAAATTAAAAAAAATTGATAGCTGTCAGCTAACTTCAGTGTCATTTTTAATTTAATATTTACACACTTTGTTAACTTAGATTAAGTTACGCGTGTATGTGATGGTGATAGTACGGTAGGAAGTAATTCATTTTGTTTTTAACCGCTGAACGAATTCGACTTGCTGTTGGAGTCGTATTCAATGGGTATGAGTAAGGAGAGTTCCAGTCGCGGAGAAATACGTCTTCTAGTTGTTGGCGAATGCTTTCGTTGTTTTTGTGATCGGCGTCTTCTAATATTAATCCAATACCTGACAATAAATAAAATTTAAAATTAATTTATTTTTTTAATTATTATAACAAATTAATCACAATAATAAAAGTTTCCTTCATAATTTTTTTTTTAATTTTCACATGTAGAATTTAAAAAAAAAATTTTTTTCATAATAATTTATTTGCTATAAAATTATTAAAAAATTTCTAATTAATTTTTTTTAGCGTGAATATAAATGGGGCATTCCATGCCAAATCGACCACTTTTGACACCGATCCTTTTCGATTTTTCTGAAATTTTGGTATCTTTCTCTACCCTATTGAAAACAATTTTCAGAATTTTTTTCAAATTTTTTTACTCAATCTAAAAAAAAGTTACGAGTTATTACAAAAAAACAGCTTTTTTTTTGTTAAATAACCATAACTTTTTTGAAAATTGACTTTTTGGAATGTTTTTTTTTTTGAAATTTTTGTCTTTAAATGTACTTTAAAAAAAAAAAAAAAAAAACATCCCAAAAAGTTAATTTTCAAAAAAGTTATGGTTATTTAACAAAAAAAAAGCTGTTTTTTTGTAATAACTCGTAACTTTTTTTTGGTTGGGTAAAAAAATTTGAAAAAATTCTGAAAATTGTTTTCAATAGGGTAGAGAAAGATACCAAAATTTCAGAAAAATCGAAAAGGGTCGGTGTCAAAAGTGGTCGATTTGGCATGGAATGCCCCAAATATATTTAAAATATATAAACAGAAAATTAAATTTCAATCGAATAAAGTTATGTTAATATTTATAAGGCTTAAAAAATTAATTAAAAAAATTATTTAATAAGAAAAATTAACTAATATCATAATTAATTTTTATTTCAAAATAAAAAAAATTTTTTTTTCTCAAAAATTAACTTAAAAAAATTTTTTTATCAATTTTTTACTGTTGAAAAAAATTTTATTAGTGCACAAGACACTTTTTTTTTTATAAAACCTAAAGATAAAGATCTTCAGGAATTAAAAAAAATCATTATTAATAAAAAAAGATAAATTATAATTAAATTTTAAAATCACAAATACAAGTCTATAAAATTTTCATATTAATCAATTAAAAAGTTTCGAAGAAGTTTTGAAAAAAAAAATTTTCAATTGAAAAAAAAAAAAGTAATAATTAAAAATTAAAATATTTACCAGCAGTATCTATAAAATAATCTCCGTACCAATTACTGGTTCCAATATAAGCCGCCGAGTCAGTGACCATATATTTATTATGATTAACCCTTCCAAAGGGAATTTTATCAAACTCTTCATTAGTCGGTACAACAAAGCGCCTGATTTCAATCCTGACATTCTTGTAACTATTGGTAAGATCCATCAAGGAAGCCAGGAAATTATCCTCGGATTTGCGCGAATGTTTCCACCAGGAGATCAACAATCTTATCCTGATCCGTCTGTCGATGGCCGTTGACCTCAATGCGTTGTCTATTACCGGCCAGTACTTAACTTTTGGCGAGTAGACGGTCAGAGGAGCGTAATCCATCACAGATATATAAATAAATTTTTCAGCTTTCTCTATACAGTGCAGAATCCCGTCGATATCGTTGGATCTGCCCTTAGGAGACAGGGGCGCCGGAGAACTCGTGATAAATCCTCTGTAATTATTGCCCTCCATAGTTAAGTTCACTGGATTGTTGATATTTATTTTTGTACTGACGGAATCCGGCCAGGACGCCGGAACTCTTCCGTCTTTACCCAGCTGCCAGTAAACCTGTTAAATAATTATTAAAATAAAATTAATTATTTAGGTCAGTCAGATTCTAAAAAAAAAAAATTAATTATTTATTTATTTATTAAAACTAATTTATTTGTTAAATAAAATTAAAAAATTCTCAAGTCGCCCTTAATTTTAGTAATATATTTTTTTATATTCTTCATAAAAATTAAATCAGCCGATATCTGAAAATTTTTTTATTGAAAAAAATTAAAAGAAGATTGGAAAAAATTCTAAATGCAATTTTTAAATAATATTTTTTTCTTATAAATTTAATTGATTCAAAAAAATTAAACATTGTCAAATGTCTGCTAATTTTTAATTGTTTATTTAAATTCTAAATTAATTGTTTATTTATTATTTTTTTTTTTTTTAAATACAAAATAATTTTGCGCCAGGATAAAAATTACTTAAATTACTCTGAATTAATAAAGTAAGATACTAAGAAAGGAGTCATTAAATTTTTTAAGCGGAAACTCGGAAAAAAAAATTAATAAATCATTTATAGATCATTAGTATGCACAGGAAATCTTTGTTTATTTTGAGAATATTTATTATGTACATATCGCTTTTCGATAATTAGTTTTGCTATTATGCGATGTCAATAATTAACGATTTTTATTATTAGATAATATTTTCTCCAGAGATTTTGGAGTGATTTTTAAAAAATTAATAAGTGATTTTTTTACAGCTTGCGATTTTTATTTTAAATTAAGATCAGCTGGATAAAAAAAATAAATTTAAATTAAGAGAAAAATTCTTGAACTAAAAAAATCTTTTAATTATTTAAAAATTTTTAATCAAGTAAAATTTACTTAAAAAAAAAATTTCCTAAGTTTAAGATTTTTTCTTGATTAAAAAAAAATTTTTTCTATGTGTGAATTGCAAAAAAAAATTACCTCAAATATTTTGGCAAAATCATTCGCCAAACATGTGCAATTTTGGATAAGAACGCCCAGTTCTTTAACTTGGGTTAAGGATCTCCAGTCCATGTTCGCTGAACCGACGTAGACATGCGTACGATCTATCAGCCATAATTTGGTGTGTAATACACCGCCACCGAAAAGAGCTGCGAAATTTAGACTTCTAACTTCGGCGTTGGCTTTTTTTGATAAGTACTCGGTGTCGAAGTTCGGGCTCAGTTGGGAAGGCGCGTTCTGGGCCACTTTTATTACGATATTTCTGTCTCGTCCGGCGGAAATTAACGCTTCGAAAACGTCTTCACCCTGTAAATTAAAATTAATTATTCATTTTTTTATAAATGAAATAATCTATATTATTAAGAGAATAAGCAAAATTTAGTGGCTAGTGTATTCTAATGATAAAATGGGTTTTTATGGTTAAATTTGGTATCGTTGGAAAAGTTTTGACCTAGAGTTATGCCTTTTCAAGGTTTCATATCATTCTCACTAATAGTCAATTTATTATGATAAGTATTTAGGCTGCATTCGAAAATGCTCTAAATACATAATTAAGAAAAGACCTTGTATCTCGTGAACTATTGACATTTTTAAAGATATAAGCTCATTCCGATGTTACACTTATCGAGACCTTTCATTTGAGTACCCACATCAATTTTTCATATATTTATATATATTATGAAAAATATATCAAAAATGCATGTAGGTACTCAAATGAAAGCTCTTGATGAGTGTAACATCGGGATGAGTTTATATCTTTAAAAATGTCAATAATTAAGAAATGAGCTTGTATCTTGTAAGCTATTGACATTTTTAAAGATATAAACTCATCCCGATGTTACACTCATCGAGACCTTTCATTTGAGTACCCACATCAATTTTTCATATATATTATATATATGTATATATATGTAGAGATGAAAAATATATCAAAAATGCATGTGGGTACTCAAATGAAAGCTCTTGATGAACATAACACCAGGATGAGCTTAGATTTTTAAAAATGTCAATAATTAAGAAATGACCTTGTATCTTGTGAACTATTGACATTTTTAAAGATATAAGCTCATCCCGATGTTATACTTATCGAGACCTTTCATTTGAGTACCCACATCATTTTTTGATATATTTATATATATTACATATATGTATATATGAAAAATATATCAAAAATGTATAAGCGTACTCAAATGGAAGGTCTTGATGAGTGTAATATTGGGATGAGCTTATATCTGTAAAAACGTCAATATTTAAAAAAGTATAGTGTAATTTAACAAAAGTCATTATTCAATAATGCAAAATTTCAATTATCTATAGCTCACAAATCACGGCAGTCACATAGTGACCGCTCGGTTGCTAGTTTAATATAAATTTTATTCTTAAAAATTAACAACAGTACATTAATTATTAAAAAAAAATTAATACAATAAAATTGATGGTAAAAAAAAATTAAATTAATATTAATAAAAGTAAATTGATATTAAAAAAAATTAATATTTATATTATATATCGTTTGATTCAATTGAATATTAATAATTACACCGTCGTCTGGGTTTCAATAATAGATTTTAATTTAGGTGTATGTATCAAAATTATAAAAAATTCTGGTGAAAAGTTGGATGAAATAAACTGTTATATTAAATATTTAATAAATTTACATTAAAAGTTTTTAATATGACCCAGTTGCCGAGACGTTTTCGTTTAATATATAAAGAAAAAAGTTGACCCGAAAACTTTATTAATTATTGGGAATATTTAAAAGAAAAGTATCTAAATTGAGTTTTGGAGAGGTTACCGGGTCAATTAGGCCACCGGTTTGCCGTCTGGGATTTCAGAAATCGTTTATTGAAACTGGCGAGTGTAAATATATAAAATTGAGAGAAGAAAAAAAAAGTAGTGAAGTACAATATAATGTAGCAGGTAATTTTGATGATTTGTTTGGACCCAGGGAGAATTATAAAGTAATTTACCTCTCGGGCGCTATCGTCGGGATAAACATCTTGTCTGGTCATAGTCCAGTATAATGACGCAATTTCAATAGTATATTGAGCGGACTGAATGAGCTCAATCCAAGTGGAATAAGTGCTCCGGTGGACCACTGAATTATTGTCGTAAATCACCCCGATGGGTATTGATTCGACCAGCGAAATACGGCAGCTGTCCTTGCAGATGTACTCAGATTCATTTCCGTAAATACTCGAATTGTTTAAGTGTTTGTGCTCGGCGTGATCCAGCAAAGGCAGCAAAACTACCAGGACTATCAGGATCAGGATTATGCTGATGGGGATACAGCTCGGGCGGCACCAGCCTTGCGCTCCCCACCTGAAAAAAATTAATTTAATAATTATTATATTAGTAAAGAATTTTTTATAACTATAAAGAAAAAAAAATATAAGATACGCAAGTATTAAATAACAAAACGTCAGCAAAAATAAAAATTTCTTCTGGTAAATTTGTAAGAATATTCTTATCTAATTAAAACTATCTGTTTATTTTAGACAGCAAAAAAAAATTACATTTTGTACTGTAGCGCATCGAAAAAATAACTGGAAAAATTACAGATTCAAACTGAGATTTTATAAAAAATTCTGTAACTAAGAAGAAGGAATTATGATTTATTTGTAATGAGAATAATGAGTAATTATGAGTTACTTTGAGTGCGTAAGGTGGTCACCAATATCACTTCTCAGCATGAAACCTGTTTGATCCCAAGTATCGTAGTCATCGTCAACTGATACTGTTTCAAGCTTTGCATTTTCTGATACAGTCTGCAAAATAAATAATTTTAGAATTTTAGAATATTTTTTATATTTTATAAAAATAATAATAACTAGCAGCCTTGCAGTCACTATGTGACTGCTGAGAGTTGTGAACTATAAATAAATAAAATTTTGCTTTATTAAATAATGACTTTTGTTAAATTGCACTGTACTTTCTTAAATATTGACGTTTTTACAGATATAAGTTCATCCCGATGTTACATTATCAAGAGCTTTTATTTGAGTACCTACATGCATTTTTAATATATTTTTAATTTATGCATAAATAATATATATTTTAAAGATATAAACTCATCCGGATGTTACACTGATTAAGAGCTTTCATTAGAGTACCCACATGAATTTTTGATATATTTTTCAAATATTCATATATATTATATATAAATATATACAATATATGAAAAATTGATGTGGGTACTCAAATGAAAGGTCTCGATGAGTGTAACATCGGGTTGAGCTTATATCTTTAAAAATGTCAGTAGTTGACAAGATACAAGTTCATTTCTTAATTATTGACATTTTTAACGATATAAGCTCATCCCGATGTTATACTCATCAAGAGCTTTCATTTGAGTACCCACACGCATTTTGATATATTTTTTATATATTCATATATA